CCCCAAAACCCCAAAACCCCAAAACCCCAAAACCCCATAATATTTGCTAACAATTGAAAATTTAAATTATTGTGGGAAAATGCCAGCAAGAAAACGGAAGAGAGAAGAAGCAGGTCTGACAGACTTTGACCAGAGTAGTGAGAAACGATCAAATATGACCCAAGAATCTGAGATGCCTGTAGTTCCCTTGAACTATTACTATCGAAGCAAGTTGATAGACTTCCATTCTAACCTCAGAAATTACAGAAACATGAAGGAATTGATGGATGTTGTTTTTGAAGCAAATCATGGGAATAAGGTCCTTTGTGACAGTCTAGTCCTTCTAATCCTTAGAGTAAGCAATTTTCTAATAATTTTTAGAACTCAGGCCTCGATCCTGAAGAGAAATCAACTCTCAAGATAGTCGAATGTGCGAATCAAGATACCCTTACTCAAGAAGAGATTGAGAGCGAGAATATTTCAGAAGACAACAGCCAGGTTATAGACTTTTGGCACTCGCTTACTGAAAAGTCAGATTACTATATAAAATTCAAGCAGTTATTCAGCATCTTGGTTTTCTCCTGTATCGAAGAGGAAAAGACAGGAGAAGAGAGGATTAAAGCAATACAGGAGCTACTCTTTAGTCTGATAACATTCAGTAAAGTCAACTTCAGATTTCTCAGAATTGCCAATTCAGTGGCGTTCAATTCTCTTTTTAGAGGCCTTGTTGCTAACTTTGAAGAAATCGTGCAGGATATCAAGACTTCAAAGTCTAAGAAAAAGAGAAAGGTGAAGGAGAACCAGAGATTAAATACCCTGAAGGAGGTTAGAGAAAGTTTGGTCCAATGCCTTGCTTGCTGCTTTGAATACCTATTCTTGAAGCATTATCATGATATCTCGCCTATAATTAGAGAGCAGATCTTTGATTCACTGTCCCTGTTCTATAATAGGGTTGACTTTGATGTACCTAATGAGTTTGAAATTGAAGATTTTTGAATGGACAAAGTCTTTTTCTTTGCCTTGAAGGAAGCCGAAAAATCAGTAAAATTCAAAGCGCTTGAATTTTGAGATGTTTACCTACGCAAAAGAGCTGAAAATAAAAATCAGAGCAAAGACCAGAACTTTGATGAAGAGGTTTTTCAAATCATTCTTAGTAGGCTACTTAAGGAGGGAGCTAGCAACCAAGCGATGACCAAGGGGTCGATGTCGGAATCTAAGCTTATCAGCCCAGTGCTTACCCAAATTCTCGCTAAGCTATGAGAGTATAACCCAAGCTTGAAGAAAGATAAGAATTTTGAAAGGCTGAAGAAGATGGCAATATTTAGTCCAACAATGCTTGGCAAGCAAATTCTTCAGATTATCTCGAAGGAAGCAGGCTTGAAAGTTCTAAGACTTGAGATCCAAGAAGATATAGGTGAAACTCATATTCCTTCAGCTCAAGATTTCAGTAAGAACTTTGAGAAGATTTGAAATTTTCTAAATGATAAATGTCTTAAAGACTACAGCCCAAAGGAAGTTGGAGAAGGATTCTGTAATTTGATGCTTTTGTGAGGAGACTTGACTCTATTCAATTTCAAGTTATATGCTTCTAACATTGAAGAGTTCCAGAAGAAACTCTCAAAATCCAAAAAGAAAGCTTCTAAGACCTTAGAACTTCCTGAAATACTGATGTATTGTCTCAGACACTCATGATTAGTATTCAAGAAAATTATTAAGAAGAAGAACGATGAAAATACTAATCCAGAAGAGAAGGAATATTATGATAAGATTGATAATTCTCTAAACTCTGACTTGCTCGAGATTTTATCTATTATCTTATCTACCTACAAAGTTGATGATCCAATCCTTATTCCAGCCATAAAGATCTTTGATGCTATAAATTTTAAACTGAATACTGATAACTTACCTGAGTCTGATTTGGCAAAAACAGTACTAGAGAGTTTGTTAGAAATCAATGACATCGACGTGAGCTTCAGCAAACAGAAGCAAGACTATCGCAGATCAGTCCTCTCTGCCATCGGCAAGCTCTCGTTCATTCCAGCTTGAACCAGCCTGGTCAAGTCCAAGATCGGTGGGTTCATAGCAGAGTTCCTCAGAGCCTTCGGTGAGTACGAGGCCAACGACCGCAGCTATGATGAAAACAAAGACGCGTTCTGTAGCCTGGTCACGCGGACGGCCGACCTGGTGACTTTTGACATGCTTCAGACCCACAAGGCAGAAGGACTCAAGCTGTACCACAAGTTCCTGGGATTCTTGAGCGCATTCGTGGTGAGGAACTATGAAGAGTTTGAGGAGGACTTTGTGACAGAGCTGGGAAGCACAGTCAACACTATGTACTTGTGGCTTATGTCCTTTATAATCTCTAAAGTTGAAAAGAATGTTGATGACTTAGAGCAAGAGTACTCAGAGCTAAATAGTCTATTCGAAAGTACTCTAGCATTTTATCGAACTACTTTTGAAGAATTTAACAAGACCAAGATAGACACAAACTTACTTGAAGATAGAGATGATCAAGCTTCTGAGAATGATAATCAAGAAGAAATAGAGAGAGCTAAGAAGATCACAAGAATCCATAAATCTTACTTACAATGGCTCACTGACTTCTGAGTAAAGTCCTCCAACGATGCTCTTGGAATGAAGTATCCAAGAATTTATCAAGAAATCAGTAAGGAATCTATCTCAAATTTATCTCATCTGGTGATTATCTGTTCACAAAGATATAAGAAAGAAGTTGCTGAGAATTTTGCAAGACTGCTTCAGAGTAACACCAATCTTTTTGCATCTCCTCTTGGGCATACTTACTTCTCAGTCTTTGGAGATCCAAGAGTTATAGTTGAGAGAGAAATTCAAAAATCAGTTTTCTCTATAATCAGATTCTATAAGGAGAAAGAGAAAGACAAGTCCCAACCTAAAGGCAAAATGGCTAGTGTGCAAGTCTGGAGTATCTTCATCCTAATGATCATGAATGAGTACACTATTGGGAGGCCAGCCATCGAAAATATTGAGAGCTTGAGACCCACCCTGATTCAGAAGGAGCTAGATCACATCCCAAGTGAGAAAATTTCGAATTACATCTGCTGCTCCAAAATTGTCAACGTGATTGTTGAGTTCTTAAAGAAGTTAGGCAACCCAAAAACAAAGGAAAGAGAAGCTATTATTTTCCTCAATACCTTCTTCTTTATTTGAAATGGAGGACCAGAAAGAAGAGAAACTCTCCCATGTCTCTTCTCTATATTAAGATTCAGGAAGATACTAAACATGAGACAGTTAGGACGTTTCAGGCAATACTTTGAAAAGATGGAGACCAAGTACACAGAGCCCCAATTTATCGTTATTCTAAATGCCATAAAATCAGTCTTCAACGACAATGCTGACAAGTTTGGTAAAGTTGAGGCTCCTGAACAGCCAGAAAGCCAGTCTTCCCAACCTGAGCAAAACTCTCAGGCTACATCTAAGTAAGTTCCTTCCCTCACATCTATAGCAAGAAGAAGAGACCAAGCGATGACAGCCAGATGCTCCAAGTAGAATCCTCATTGCAGAAGGAAGTTAAAGTAGAATAATCTATGCAACGCTGATTTCAATATTTGGACTCAAAAATGGGGTTTTGGGGTTTTGGGGTTTTGGGGTTTTGGGGTTTTGGGGTTTTGGGG